GCAGGTAGAGGCCTTGCGCTTTAATATAATTTTGAGAAGTTTTGACAATTTTTCATTATCAAGTTATGCTCTTCATTGTAAGTACTAAAAAATTAAAAATTAAAAGAAACTGCGACTATTCTCGATTACTTTCTGTTCGAATCAATTTCGTTCATTACTTACCTATAACCATCGTGTAACCGCCAGGGAATTCAACGTCGTGTGTAGTACCATTATACGTCAAATAAAGATAATTTGTCGTAGCCGGCCACTCGGCAGCAACCGTGTCTATTTGTTTCACCATCGGTCGTATATTATTCTCCTGTCTTTGTATTCTAACAGCCAACTCCGAGCTTTTAACCACGGCCGCTATTTGCTTGTCAGAAAATCCAATTTGCTTCGCTCGTAATAGAACTTTGTGCGACAGTTTCGTATGATCTGTGTTTTCCAATACCAGATAATAATCGATAATATTTTTCATCTTGTGTAGGAACCATCTATCTATTTTTGTGAGATCGTACAATCGATCGATGGTATATCCAGCCTTTATGGAAGCTGCAAGAACGAACATCCTCTTGTCGGTAGGTTTTTCCAATTCTTCGTCGTTCGGAGCTTTCACGTAAGGATCGAAACCGTTGATATTCTCGTCGACCATTCTCAAAGCTTTCTGAAAAGCTTCCTCGAATTTCCGACCGATCGCCATCACCTCTCCCACGCTTTTCATTGAACTGCCGATCTAAAATCGATTTATCATTATATGATCAACTATGTACTCTACTGTGCGTAAATAATTCGATATCTAATGCAATTCTGTTAATAGCTCGATATTCTTGTTTCGTGTTTCGACAATTACGATTGACAAACAATCTTCTATTATTAATTTTTTACATTTTAAAGTTTCATACTCATTTATGATAGATAGCTGACACTAATGAAAGTACATTTCAATCGTTCTAAGGTTATACCCTATTATAATATTAATTAAATACTAAATATTATAATATTGTTAATTATTCCTTCTATTAATATCTATTAACTGTAGATGTTAAGATTAAATTAAAGAAATCCTGGAATCAATTTGTACGTCCAAAAATTAGGAGCACTCATCAACGTCCAGAAAATAAACAGACACATAAACCCTGTGTTGTTCTAATCTTAATATAATTTAAATAGTGATACTTTATAAATAAGTATCAGTATCATCATGTATGTTTCATAAAATTATCATAGAAACTGTATAAAGACGAAGAAAATATTAACTGAATCTTTCTGATTGAATAAATTAAATGAATCTGACAGTGCAAATTTTATTGAAAAAAAAAAAAAAAA